CTTTAAAAAAAAAAAAAGACAATAAGGAAACTTGAAATTGGAAAACAGATAATAAAACCTGGGTTTTTTGTTTTTTTTTTTAGTGTAATGTACTATTGTGGGATATCATTGTAACTCTTTCACTCTCATAGGTGATTTGAAAATCAAGGTCATATGAATTTGTACTGCTCACTTTAAGAATGTTAATTTAAAAGTTTAGTTCATGTTACATATTTCCAGAAAAAGAAAATCTCCTATTTCTTCAGTCTGAACGAAATGCTTTATTTTCATCTTCAAAGAAAGCTCAGAAGTGAGACTATCTGCTCCTTTGCCAGGCTCTGTTGGTCAAATAAGGACTTGTTAGTATTTTTTGTTAAGGCATTCTTTTCCAAGAAGAGGGCCAAATATCAAAAAGCAGATTTGTTGTATGTGAGTGCCTGGTGTTTGAAACTAACTCTTGTAATCTTAGTATTCAGAGCTATTTCTTAACACATTAGATTAAATTTCAGGGTGAATTCAGTTCAGAACTCCTGCATATTTATCTGTTCCCTTCAGCTCACTTAGCAACACTTGGAGACTAACCCCAGATAGATGGAAACCCAGTTAACAGTGGCAGGCTCCACCTTGCCTCATGGAGTCATAGTGCTTGTCTGTACTTAAGCGCTTCACGGCTCTCCTGCGACCCACCCCAACCCCCACACGCTTGATTCCAAGTGCAAAAGTCACCTAGTAGCTTTTACCTAAGCAAATTTGTGCAACAATATTTTCTTAAACATTGAGTTGGTTGTTCTCTTTTTGCTTTTTTTTTTAGCCCACTGACAAGGAACTGAGAGCAGCCATAGCATTGCTGACAGCTCAACAGACAGCTCTGGAAATGATTGTCAATATGTGCTGCAGTGAAGGTTTGTTACCAGCTTGCATGTACACATTGTCCCCTACGCTGAATGGGTAGGGGATTTGCTTCGGTGTTCCAGTTACGTGTGGTTTACACTCTTGCCAGAGCCCTCTGACGACGAGTGGGAAGAGCTTTCCAGCAGTGATGAAAGCGATGCGTTCATGGAGAATTCCTTCAATGAGTGTGGGGGGCAGCTGCTATCTCCCCTCTGCCTCTCCCATGAGATTCACACTGCTCTCACCAGCTACCTCATCCCAAAGAAGGTACTGTATTTTCATGTGAGGCTCCATGTGGAGCATGGGAAAGGTTACATTGAGATATTCTTTATGAAAAAAAAAAATTCCCAGATTGTAGGTAATTGGTAAGGTCATAGAAACAACAGAGTAGACAAAGTTTCTTTGTTAAGCCTAATCATTTTACTTAGAAGTGTGTGGGGAGTTTATTAAGGGTATAAAATGACTCTATTCTTCCACTTTTGCTTTACGGCCTTCCAAAAATCTAGATTTTTGAGAAAACTGCCTTTCCAAACAGCGTTGCAGTTGACATATGTTCTAAGGCCCCCACGTGGAAACCTTTGATTAGAAAGTAAGTACTTTTCTGTTTTCAGAAACATTTGTCATTGTGTTACTACGTGAAATGATAGGCCACGAGGTAGCTGACTCCTTCCCAAGACTCAGAAGTTCTGTTCCTGTGTATCTTCCCTGGAGAAGTGTGTGCATATGTATTCTGGGACATGAGAGCGTACATAGCAGTGCAGTGCACAGTTGTTCCAACCTGGAAATGATCTCTTTATCAATAGCAGAGTGAATAAATAAATGTTGACACAATCATATTGTAGAATACATAGAGCAATGAAAACGATCTGAAATAAAATTTACAGCATCAAACAAAAAAGGAGGGCACAAAAGAATAAACACACAGTGATTCACTTTTTATGAAGTCCCACAAGGCAACACTCTGGTATATTTAGGGGTGCCTAGAGGGTGGTGAGCCTCCCGGAAAAGCCAGGACAGGTTTGCCCGAAAGACAGTGGTGACCTTAGCAGTTGGCATGCCAGGGGGCAGGCTTGCAGTGTTTGTACCCCATCTTATGCTGGGCTTTTGCTTTTAAATTCTTCATGAAACGCTCTGTATGCATCGAGAACTCTACTGCATGCATGTCGTATGTCACAATTAAAAATCATCTTAAAGATGCTGCCATGTGTAGAGGTTTTTGCATCAGACTCTTGTGACTCAGGCCTGAGGTGTGGCTTGGAGGCACTGCTGAATTTGGGGTGCACAGTCCACCGTAAGATTCTGCTGACTGCCACGGCCCTCCTGCTTATGGCTAGATATTCCCAGTGAGAGCGTGAAGCTTAGGTCAAGAGTCTGACTGCTCTCAGGTAACTGAGAAACTCAGAATTCCTTCACTTCCTTTCCAGAATGAACACCATCCAGTGTAGAGCCCTGGTGTGTCTCCAGAACCTCGTGTCCCTCCTGGATGTGGACCACCTGGGGGGCGCTCCAGCCCTTCAGACGCTCGCACAGCATCTGTCAGAGCTGATCTTTTCTCAGCCAGGTAAATAGTTAGGCATACTGTGAAAGACTCAGCCGGATTTTGAAGAGGCAGAAGTGGGCTTTTTGGCTGTACGCTGTTTATCCTCCAACCTGAAGATGCCTTTCCCAAGCACCAGCAACCACACAACCATTTGCTTATAGTTGCCAGCAGTGTGGTGTCAAAACAGGTTGAATAAGCAGGTTTCTGGTTATTTTTTTCTTTTTCTTAAAATTGTTGGCGTCCAGTTATCGCAGGCCTGCTGAGGCTGAGTCACAAGTACCATAGACATTACCTCATTAAGGCCATTGGGTAATTCTCTGCTATTTTTCTTTTTCATTATAAAATCTGATTTTAGTTATGTCTGATTGAGTAATACATACATGTGTTGCAGGATCCAAAAGTTTTTCAAGGGCACAGAGTGGAAAACTCAAACACCTTTTTGTGGCTGAAGCTTACAAATCTGTGGTGTGGCTTAATTTGTACATAACACCTAGAGCGACACAGCACATGCTCGCCCAGCTGCACATCATTTAATGTGTGCTCCTTCAGTAGATTTTCACAGCTCATTGTAGGAGAATGTCGTTTAAGTTGGCTACATTAAACTATAAAGGATGACTGAGAGAGAGAAAAAAGTACAGTGGAAAATTCTCATTACCCAGCATGAATGTCTGGAATAGGCTAATGGAGATAAAAATCTGCGTTTTCTCGGCTTCTCAGCTTCAGTAGTTTTTGAACTTGAAGTTTTTGAACTTGGAGTTACGTAGTTGCTTTCTGCGCTAGCTTTAGAACCCTACCACCAGATAAGCTAGAACTCAGTTGTGTTACATCCAGTGTATTTTCATTGTAAACTATTTCATATGTCCCTATCTCAGACACACTTGAGTCCAAGAATTGATCTTTTTTTTTTTAAAGATTTATTTATTCATACAGAACTGGGGTACAGGCCAGAGATGCAGAGGGTGAGAGGATTCACCAGAGACAGAGTGGGGAGCAGAACAGGCAGATCGACGAAGTACACTGCTGAGTATAGCAGCGGGCGGGTCAGGAGAGGTCTGCCGCGCCATGTGGATCTCCTCTGGGGCAGGTGGGGACCGAACTCATGGGGAAGTGGCTTTAGCTTCTTAGTGCTGTGCTTTAACCCACTGCGCCACCAGGGAGGGCCCGATCTTTTTTTTTTTTTTTTTTTTAAGATTTATTTATTTGTGCATATAGACTGAGGCACAGGCCAGAGGTTCAGGGGCAGTGAGAGGATTCACCAGAGACAGAGTGGGGAGCAGAACAGACAGATCGACGAAGTACACTGCTGAGGAGAGCAGCGGGCGGGTCAGGAGAGGTCTGCGGCGCCTTGTGGATCACCTCCAGGGCTGGGGATCGAACTTGTGCTGAAGTGGCTTTAGCTTCTTAGTGTTGTGCTTTAACCCACTGTGCCACCAGGGAGGGCCAGGAATTGATCTTTAAAAGATAAAAAATACTAAGCTTCTATGTAAACATTCATTCAAGAGTTGACCACCAGGTCTTTTTCTTTAATCAGATTGGGGGAGATGGTAGAGGGTCCCTAGTTCTTTAGACTTTTTTTTTTTAATTAATTTATTTATGTATGTATTTACACATACAGAACTGGGTACAGACTAGAAGTGTGTGGGGTGAGAGGATTCTGTTGAGGGGAGTAGGAATAGCAGAGGAGACAGAAGAGGCCTGCCCCGCCATGTGGGGCAGCTCCCAGGCCGGGGATCACACTCAGGTTGCAGTGGCTGCTGACAGCTGTCTTTAACCGCTGTGCTATCAGGGAAGCCCTAGATTTCCATTTTGAACTCCTCAAATTGATAAGTACTGCTGTATACTTAGTGATGCTATTTTAGATTAATTTTTTTAATTCAGCAAATAAGTGTTCAGAAACATGTCCACTGTGATATACAGATACTTCTGCTACAGCTTTCATATAAACTGGAAGAGATCCAGTTGGTTTGGGGAAAAGAGGGTTTTTATCTGTCTGTTGCTAGGATTCCTACTTCTATTGGCGTCATAGGGGGGAGAGGCCGTAGGCTCCTGTTGCTTTTGCCCACTAACAGCCATTCCTTCTGTGGCTCCCTGCCACAGGGGAGTCCATAGTCAGGTCCCAGATGAGCAGGACCCACCCAGTTGTCTTCTGGCATCCAGGCTGAGGGAACTGCGTCTGCCTTAGTTTACAAAGCTGTCCTCTCAGTGTTTCCAAGTGAGAGTTCATATCATCCTCAAATAACACAAAAAGTTCATTTCACTTGAAAGAAACGCACATATTCTATGTCTCTGCTATACTGAAAACACTTAGGTATGTGTCTCCCAGTTGAGCTGGCTATTTGTGGTCACTCATGCTTGCATATTGATTATCAGGAAGGGGACAGGAAAAGCATACCAAGCTGAGCCTTGGAGAAACTGGACAAAGTTCCTGAATTGGGGGAAAGTATAATTAGATGCTTTTAATTTAAATACTTTTTTTTTAATGATTAGTCTTGACATAGTCATTTGTTATCAAGATGAAATTTTAAATAAAGGATAATCACATATTTAGAGACTATATTCTGACATAGTCCTTCTAAGTATTTGGGATTTATAAAGTAATTAAGTCCTCCAGGATCTGTATAGATAGTGTGAACTTTATTGGAGTATTTGATGGGGAGGATGAGGCCAAATTTCTGTATGTTTTTATTACCATGTTTGAGTTAAATATATAAGGCTCATATGCTGTAACATGTTTTCATTTTAATACTACATTATAGTTCTGAGACATTATGTATGATATGTACCTATGTTATATTTGTGGCTAATGTCAGAGATAAGAGGAGTTTTAAGTAGAAGCTGGCTTTTGCATTCAGACACTTATATTAAAAACTGTTGAGCGATATAAAACTTCAAGAAATTCTTAACAGTGTTGTATTTTCAAAGTGAGTCAGCTGTTACTGTGCATCATTCTATGCACTCTAAAGTCATGTAGGAGTCCCTGTTTTCCAGATTAAGGGAAGCAGAAAACTATTTTTCATTATAATTAGAATGATAGTCACACCCATTCTGGGATATTCTTTTATCTAATATTTTCTGTGTTCTATAATATTAAATATCAGTCTGAAAACTTCACCTAAATATAATTTGTTGCTTGAGTGAGTGTGGGTTGACTGTTTACCTACATTGAGGCATATTACAAATTCTTAGATACTGTACAACTTTGAAGGGAAAGGCATTTTGAGTGACCCCTTTTGTTTAACTCCTTTTGATAGTTAATTTCTTTGACACATTTGTCAGAAAGGCAGAGTAGTTTGAAGTTCCTTTCCGAATTAGGATTAATGACCAGAAAAGTGTGTTAAATAAAAATGGTACAATCATTTCCTTTAGTTTAAGGAAAATATGAATTAATACATAATGTAAAACTGTCACATAGTTTAGAGTTTTGAGTCTAAGGAAATGATTATTTTCCTAAGAATGGATGACAGGATAAAACTGATTTCCAATGTGTTCTGTTTGTTCTAAGTTAATTCTTTGTATAGTGACTCAGTTATTTTATGTGTAGTTCATGAACTTCTATAATCTACATGAGTTTATTGGCTCTGAACGTATGTTTCAGAGCCAATATACTGACTTTCTGAAGTTCAATATTAGAGCTTTTCAAGTTCCTGTTAGACACTAGGTTTTATGAGCCAGGCATGATTACCCCATCTTTCTGATGAGGAAGCAGAATTACAGAACTTCCTCAAGGAAATCTACTCTTTCAACTTGTAGTTCCTGAACACTTAGTCTGTGCCGTGCACGGTTCTAAGTTCAAGGAATACAGACATGAATGAGAGACACCAGGCCACTGTCCTTATGGAGCTTGCATTTTTGCATAAAGGATTTGACAGAATTTCTGCTGTGAAGAAAAAAATAAAAGCAGAATGGCATGAGATTCTGCCACAGGCAGCTTAGTGTGGAAAGGCCTCTCTGTGGGGGTAATATGTGAGCAGAGACCAGCGTGAAGTGAGAAGTCATATAATGGCAGAGTCTGTCTGTTCTAAGGCCATCTTAGTGTCTGTTCTGTGACACTGATGGAACATACTTTTGTATGTAGTAAGCATCTGAAAAATAGTCAAAAAATGTTACAAGCTTTGAATCAGATTTGTGCAGAACGGCCTCGCTATTCTGCAGGCAGTCTGGGGGGTGTGGGCATCAGAAACTTTAGGGGCATCACAGGGTAGAAAGCCACTATATCTATTACATTGCAAATCCCCCTAAAATGTTGTGACTTGAAAAACTGCGTGTTACTTGTCATGGTTTATGTAGGTCAGGGCACAATGGAGATGGTTTATCTCCACTCCACAATATCTGTGTTGATGTTTCTTAACGAGGTATTTACCCCCCACCCCAAGACAGCTGGTAGCATCTCTGTTGTTATAACTTGGGAGCTGCTGCCAATATCTGTAAGGTAGGGGATAGGGTTGCTGTTCCCATAGTACACAGGAGACCACTCAGGAACAACATAGAATCATCTGGTCCAAAATGTCAGTAGTACTAAGGTTAAGAAACCCTGGTCAGAGCCCTCCCTGGTGGCGCGAGGGGTTAAAGCACAGCACTATGAAGCTGTCTGCAGCCACCGCAGCATGAGTTCAATCCCCGGCAGCCAGGGAAGTGACCCACATGGCACGACAGACCTCTCCCATCCCACCCACTGTTCCCCTCAGGAGAGTGTTTCAGTCAGTCTGCTGTTCTGCTCCCCACTGTGTCTCTGGTGAATCCTCTCACCCCCTGCACCTCTGGCCTCTACTACAGTTCTTGTGTGCATAAATAAATAAATCTTTAAAAAAAAAAAAAAAACCTAGTCTGAAACCTCTTTTAGAAAAGCAGGAGCTAGAATCATTTGAAGTCTTACTTCTAAGTCGCTGCTGGGCCAGTGTCTGAACACTGACTAGTGACCTCTTCTGTGACCTGGGCTTCCTTTCACAAAAACTGGGTTCCCAGAGCAAGAGTTGAGAGCGGGGAAGGAGGAAGCAGAAATCATGTTGCCTTTCATGACCCAACCTGTTAACTTCCAGGCATTCTGTTATTTGAAGAAGTCATAAAGTCCCATGCAGATTCAGGGAGAAGGGAAGTAGACTCCATGTTTTTGGGAAGTGACAAGGTGTGGAAGATCGTGCAGGAATGGACAGGGAGCAGCTTTTGGCCAGGCAGAGAGAGATCTGGGTTGTAGAAAAAGCACTGGTTTGGGGACGCTCCACACTAGGCCTACCCAGCACTGCCTGGTGATCTACGAAAAACTGAGTTCAGTCTGCAAAAGCATCTGGGATCTGTTGTGTGCTATGGTGTGAGAGATGAAAATCCAGTGTTTGGAAGGCAAAGACTGTAGAGCACCCCTGTCATGGTTATTTCAGCTGTGGTCTTCATTCAGACTCAAGTACAACAGTTCATAGATGCTTTGGCTTCACTATCAAACGTGACTTCATTATCACAGCATGTAGTAACTTATACTTTAATTTGTTTTGAGTTGGTATTTTTCTACAAAATAACTTATCTTGGGAAAAGATCTATATTTCACTTTTGTGTTGTAGATTTTGCTAAGCATGTTGACTTTCTAGAAGCCATAAGTAGTGCCTTGAGGGCCCTTTTGCAAACAATGGCCTCCAAGAACATTTCTCAGGTAAGATTTTTAAAAGTTTTATGTGAAACTAGTAAAGATTCTGTATTTTTGGTGTGAAAACCTATGACTTAGCACCTTGTGAGTATTTTTATTACAGGAGTAGTGCGGAAGTACTTATAAAGGAAAATCACTTCCTTCTCCCTTCTGTTTTCTCCCCACTACAGCTCACGCACAGGATGTCTTTATTATTACACTTCTTACTGGACATTTGTGTTGTATTTTTTCTGGATATCATTTGTCATTTTAATACAAAAATAATACAAAAAATATCAAGCATGCCCTCCCTACAGCCCCTCTTGGATAGGTGCCTTACCACTCTTTTTTTTAAAGATTTATTTGTGCTCACAGAACTGGGGTATAGGCCAGAGGTGTGGGGTGAGAGGATTCACCAGAGACAGAGTGGGGAGCAGAACAGGCAGATGGACTGAAGTACACTGCTGAGGGGAGCTGCGGGGAGACAGGAGAGGTCTGCCGCGCCATGTGGGTCACCTCCGGGGCAGGGATCGAACTCCCACTGAAGCGGCTACACCGAGCTTACAGTGCTGCATCCTTACCCATTGCACCATTCTTACTTTGTAAGGAAATTTTCAAGCATCCTAGAAGCAGAGAAGAGTGTAACAGCCCTGCACATACCGACACTGAGCATCGGTTGTCACCCACTGCCATCCTTCTTTCACTCCTCTCCCTGACATGTTTACTTCCTAGAATAGTTTTTTTTTTTTTTTTTGTTAAGATTTATTTATTTATGCATACAAGAATTGGGGTTCAGGCCAGAGGTCCAGGGGCAGGGTAGGGGTGAGAGGATTCACCACAGAATGGGAAGCAGAACAGGCAAATTGACAGAGCAGGCACATGCCCTGCTGAGAGGAGCAGTGGGGAGACAGGAGAGGCCCTAGAATAGTTTAAAACACATCGTATTTCACCCACAGATATTTTACTTATGTGCTTCATGATGTGTCTGTGATAGACAATTACCTTAAAAAAAAAAAATCTAACCATGTGCCTTTACCAAAATCCCCAAATTAAGAGGTATTTCTTCATCATTTGCTGTGCTGTCTGAGTTCACTATTTCCTGATTGCTCCAATACGTCCTTTGCAATTGGTCTGTTCTAAGCAGTATTTAAGCAAGGTACACACATTGCTTCAGGTGATTTATGTTTTAAATTTTTAACAGCTTTCATGAGAGTTAATCACATTTTACACAGTGTATTTCAGTGTTTTTGGGTATATGCAGATTCTAAATCTCCACCTGCGTAGCATCTTCTCGGCCTGCCCCTTTGTCCATCCATGTCCTAACGGAGGACATTGGCCCTTGCCATGTAGCCCTGCCCAGCTCTAGATCCTGCTGCTCCATCACGTGTCACCGTGTGTTCCTCTAGTTCCCAGGGTTCCTAGACCCTGGGACTAGGACTAGAGTCGTAATTGGATTTACGTTCAGATTATTTTGGCCGCATGCGGCCCCTACTTAAACTTGGCAACTCATATGAATAGTGATGTGGAGTTCCTTGGCACCTTCACAGAATGGTCGTGGCAACCTGTGGCGATGGTTATCCAGATCCATTATCCTTTAGGGGTTGCAAAATGCTGACATCCTAGTTTTGACATTCCGCTTTTCAGAAGCCATAATTCTATAAATAATTACTTTCTGTCTCATCAGTTTGTGCTAAAATACGACAAACAAGTGTAGTAGTCCTCTCCCCATGGCCCTGTTCTCCAGAAGGACAAGTTGGTGTCCTACGAGTCTCTAAAGTGACCAGTGAATGATCTGTTTTAAGTATCATGATCTCGTGGTTTTTTACATTTTATATTTCATTCCATTATAGTCACTCTTTTTGATGCAAAAGTTGTCCTGTCTTTAGATCATAGGAGTCTATTCAAATTGGCTCCTGTCTCTCTTTGATACAAACCCAGTAGTTTCTTTCTGATAGTGTCTAAGAACAAGAACACACCTCAGGCTCATCTTGTACTTTTTCTTCTTAAAGACGAGAATCATTTATTTCTCCAGGAAGGCTTAAAGTCCTTAGAGGAAGGTGGTATTTTGGTCTGAAGTAGAAACTCTGGGGAGAGGCCCAGCAATCTATGTTTTAACTGGTTCTCAAGATGATTTCACACACACTTAAGTTTCAGAACCACTGTTCTCAGCCATCCTCACCCATTTCTTTCTAAAGTCCTCCAGTTTTGATTAACATATCACTGCTCTTAGTTGCCACCATCTGCCATCCGTGGGGCATGCCCATAGGGGCTCTGTTATGTTCACGAGTCCTGCGCCATCTCCATGATCTCAGTATCCAGTGGAAGCTCTTTCCAGGAACCTGACTTTGCAGTGCTTGGACCCCCTTCTTGTCAGGGGTCTTGCTGTCCTTTTTACTTTCATCCCCCAAGGCCACAGCTCTAGAGTAAAGCCTTTCAAACTTTACCCTGTTCTAGAGTTTAATGGGAAGTCTCTGGCGTTTCACCACTAGACATAGTATTATGCTATTGGCTTCTCTCATATGTACGCAGTACTTTAAAAAATTTTTTATATCCTTTTTTCCCCAACAACATAACTTTTGATCCTCAATTTATATGAAATAGCAATGGTAATAATCCCTGGCCTGTCTTGTGTCTGTTGAGAATCAGGAAACCCTATACCTGGATAGGTCCTATAGTAATAGAAAGTATTTTTATTGGTTTTCTACGCTGTGCAGGTAGTTGCTTACTGGGTCATTTTAAAGAAAAGCATTCCATGAACTATTGACAAATCATACCTGCTAAGATGGTAAATTCTCAAGCTGGCTGGGTGTTGGGCACAAACATAGAATTTTGACTTAGAAGAACCCTGGTCTAGTATTCTGTAAGGAGAAGAAACCAAGGAGCACCACGCCTAGCAGCCGTGCCCTGCTCCGGTCTGGCCTTCCCCTTGCAGGTGTGTGTGTGCTCAGGCTCCTCACACTGGGAGTCACAGGGCAGTGACACAGACTCTGCACGGAGTCTGTCCACACTCTCATAGGCATTAGGATGTGTTCTGAGAACTCTAGGCGTATCTGCTGTTCCCTTCAGATGTGTAGGAACCAATACAAATGATTCAAAACGAGTTTGATGGTTTAGTACTATAAAGTACTTTTTTTTTGGTAAAGTACTTTTATATATAATAGCAGCTGCCATTTAATGAGTGCTCTATACACATTAGTTAACCTCACAGTCACTCTGCATGATGGCTACTGCTGTTGATCTGTGTCACTGATGTGGAAATGGACAGCCCAGTGGAATTGTGTTACTAGTGCTGCATTGCCCAGTGGTAAGCAGTGGAGCTGGGATTTGAACCCAGGAAGACAAACTCTGTGTCACTTCACTCTTATAAACTACCTAGAGTAGTTTGTAAGAGTGAACGAGTTTTTATTGCATAATTCCCATTTATATATTAAAAATATTTTTTCTGGTCAATGTTGAAAAGAACTTAATGTACCCTTAGTGTGTATTTATCTGAATTTAAGTGCCCTTCAAATGAACTTGAGGAACCGAAGCCCTTTATGATTGAATAACAACAGTGACACAAACAGGCCACACTTTGGTTCGACTTATCCCTGTACTTGGGAGAGACTAGATCCTGTAATGATTTCTCCGTGAGAGCTTATTTCACTTAGACTTGCACGGCCTGCAGGGGAGGTGCTTGTCAGTACTGTTGCCCACGCTGTTGGGTCAGTTCAGTTTAACACTCTGCTCTCTTTTCTTCCCACAGTGCATGACTCCTGACCAGCTGATGTCGTTGTGCAAAGTGGGCATTTATAGTAATAATGTTGGGGTTAGAGTGAACGTAGTTAGTATCTTAGGAATCACTGGCAGTGTCCTAGCCAAAGAAGATGGTACACTTGAAACTCTCAAGGTAAAACAATATGCTTCTAACCTAAAATGTTTAGAAGTGGGGGAGAGTAAAAAAAAAAAAAAAAAAAACACTGGGGTTTAAAAAATAAACTTCTATGACCACCATAAGAAGAACTCAGTGTTGACTTTCACTGTGTGTAGATATGAAATGCACCCGTTGACTTTCACTGTGTGTAGATAGGTGCTTGAAACTTGTGACATTTTGCCATTTAGCTTTACTCTGGAGATAAATATATTTTTTTTTAGATTTATTTATTTATACATACAGAACTGGATAAAGGCCAGGAGTGCGGGGGTGAGAGGATTCACCAGAGTGGAGCAGAACAGGCAGATTGTTGAAGTACTCTGCTGAGGGGAATCAGCGGGCAAGTCAGGAGAGGTCTGCTGTGCTATGTGGGTCACCCCCCTGCTTGGGGATCAAACTTGTGCTGCAGTGACTGCAATAGCTTCACAGTGCTGTGCTTTAACCCTTGCACAACCAGGGAGGGCCCCTGAAGATACCTTTAAAAAAAATACATTTCTATCCAGTGAAAGACCAAGTTCTGAATTGTTAAAGCTGCCTCTACTTTCACTATTAAATAAAATGTGTGCCTATCATATTTTACTTATGAAGGAACCATCCACCCGAGTTCCTTTGCGCACCAGGCGAGAGCTTTGGAATAAGACCACACTGTCCATTCTGTGCCTCTCTGCGGATCTTCAGCAGCAGCCCTGATAGTGCAGGTGCACTGGAAACTCACTCTGCTTCCCATCAGCACAGTTGCCCACAAACTGCACTGTTAGCAATGAGCATCACTAAGAGTAAGAGCAAAAATTACTCTTCGTTGTGCTGATAATAATCGCTGCAGTGTTGGTTATTGACTAGTGGGTAGTGAATCCATTATTATAAGTACTTTTTAAATGGCTAAGAACTTTATAACTGCTGTTCACCTAATTTTGAAAAAGTTACACAGACACATATGAAGACATTTAGACAAGTAGAAAGAGATGTATAGTGGAAGACCACCTGCACCCCTAAATTTCTTGTCCTTCAGTTTACCCCTGGAAAGGCCACCTCTGGCAGCCGTGCCTTCACTGTCTTTCCAGAGGCTCTTCATGTCTAGCACATGAGTGAGGGGTACCTGGCTCATGGGCGCTCATGTCCTAGGTTCCTTTGGAGGTGTGAGTGCTTCTCGAGTGTAACAGAGGTTGAAAATGTTTTTATTTGGCCGTATTTCCAAGCGTGAAGTAGACGGTACAGTGAATTGGGTACGCCTCCCAAGCATAGCTAACAGTTTCTACTATCTTACCATGCGCTTCACATCGTTTCTTTGCTGGGTAGGTCATGGTTTTGTACCCCTTGTCTTTAAGTAGGACAGTTTTTTAATCACACCTTACAGTCATTTTTTAATTTGTAGACTACTTGGTTCAAATTTAAATTTTCCCAGTTCCAAAAAATACCTGTTTACAGATAGTCTGTTTGAATCAGGATCTAGAAACGTCGTGAGCTGTACGTGCCCTGATTCCTACGCTCACGTGGCCTGAACCAGGCTTTGTAGTGACACCTGCCACCACTTATTTTTCTCTCGGCTCCCGCTTCAGTTGTCCCGTAGGGTGTTCAGCCTCAGAATTTGTCTGACGCTCCCTTGTGGTGTTAACCTGATTCTTTCATCCGGTTTCCTATAAACTGGAAGCTAGACTAAAGGCCAGATTAGATTTAGATTCAGATTCACAATGTATAATGAATCAGAAAGACTACTTCACAGGTACTGCTGTGTTTCATATTATACTCTAGGGCAGTAAATCTAAATATCTTCCAGGTTCTGTAGACACTTAAATGCAGATGTGATATTTGAAAGTGGATGACTGACTACTCATGAGTCACCCTTGGTGGTAGACATAAAAGGTGAAGCAGAACCCCCCCAAAAGAGTGACTTCACTCACGAGCAGTTCTTTCAGATTGGGAGCGATCTATCTGCTCATTAACTGATTGTGGAAAAAATAGGTGAATGTTAAAAAGCAACCATGCAGTGAAGCAAAATGAGATTGTTTTATTCTTTGTGATTTTCATTGTCTTAGAATAATTTGTATATAATTTTAAAAGCAGATTTTGTTGTTGTTAATGCATTTTAACAGCATAAGCAAAGTCTTTTTGAGGGAGATAAAGGAGAAACGTATTGATTTCTAAAATCAATCTTCGATAAATGTGGCTCTTGATTCATTTTATTTAGGAATATAGACTAATAAGTTTAATGTAACTCGTGCGTATTGTAACTTGGTGTATTATAAATGCTGTCTTCAGTCTTACCCTGACATTTTTATATAAAATATGCCTATGCATGGAGTATTGCCACATCTAATGTTCGTGTGTATTTTGTAATATTATTATATTGAACTAAAACAGTATGTTGTCTACAGACCATTGGGTCCTTCCTGCTTGAGGTTGCAACCAAAGATCCTTCCCTGGTAGTAGCTGGAGAAGCTTTGGATGCCCTGTTTGATGTTTTTGCTGATGGTAAAGAAGCTGAAAGAGCCTCCGTTCAAATTAAATTGTTATCTACTCTGAAAGAGCTCCAGCCTGTCTTCAAAATGAAGGTATGTGGCCATTTTACTTAATGTTGAGGGGGAGAGGGTTAGTGCCCTCCCTGCGTGGGACCCCAGTGACTCATTGCGCTGGGCTCCAGGCCTGTGTGATGCCTGTGGTCGTAGTCAGGCAAGTCCTGCTCGCCTTTGGGTCACTTGTGCCTTGAGCCAGAGAGGTGTCGGCAAGTTCCTATAAACACCGCAGTCTGTGGCGTCTGAAGCACATGTCATGTATATTTATCACGTAATCATTGATTCTGTTGTTACAAATACTTCCCTTTAGTGCTCAGAAAAAAAATGAAAACTACCCAGAAGTCTTTATTGGGGATTCTATAATGGAGACTGTAACTGCCTTGATTTGCTGTCAGAAGCATCAAGGCTAATGTAGAGTCAAGAAGTAATTTTCAGGAACTGTGTGGCGGCAGAGGGAAGAACTAGGAATTTAAAGCCCCTTTACATCATTTGTCCTAAAGTTGAGATTTACCACTCTGTTCTATCTAAGACTCCATTTTAGAATTAGGTTATATTGTATTCTTTTGCTTTTAGTAGAGGTTTTGATGAAAAATTAACTTCTTTTGTTATTTTCTAGTATGTATTTCTTTTATATAAGTAGCCCCTACTGTAAAATGTAGTTCACATGGAAAGACCCAGTAAAAAGGTCTCAGGTGAATACGATTATATCTAGAAATTTAAGGCATAAAATAATAGCTTCCTTTTCTAGGAGAAAAGGAAAATTGTAACACATAACATGCACAATTCTGTTATCATTACACCTGAATTTAGTGTTAGTTTAAGAACATTAATAAATGTTTGGATTTTTTTAGCGTTTCCATGTCTTGCAATACATTTTAAATTTTAGTGATAGTAGCTGCCATTTATTGAATTAGGTTTTATCAGTAGGTGACCTCGTTCTGGGAGGAAAAATTTAAGATTTTGCTTTAAGTATGCTTTGTTCAAAGCCTCTAGTTTCTTGTTGTCTGTTTTATTAAGTAGTGAGAGTTTTTATTCCCACCTATTGCAGTCTCATCAGTAACCAAATTGAATGGTAGTTCTTTAAGCAAAGGCAAGAATACGTTATTATCCAAAAGTCATCACCGCCTTAAGCAACATGGGACTTTACTGAAAGTTCTATGATATATTCAGTCCTGCACTCTGTATGCTTTTACTTAACTTTCTACCTCCTAGAGTGTCTGCACATTCACTTTCAGACCTTTAAATTTCTGAAAAAGAAGTCTTCAGAGTAAGAAAAAAACATCTGCCCGCTCCTGATTCCCTGCACTGGCCAGGAGAGCAGCTGCAGTTAGAGTATTCAAATTCTGCAAAAGCAAATGCTTAGAAGGGAGTAAAGTAAATTTATGGAATAGGAAAAAACCCTAACTTCTAGAAGCTCTGTTATTCTGCTTGGTTTTTCTATTCCATATGCATTTCTATGGTTTTAATATTTAAATACAAGGTTTTGTTTTTTTTTTTTCTGCAAGGTGTTAAGGCCCTAATGGAACTGCCTTACTAGTCGGAAGGCAGCCTATAGCCTATCTGGCTCAGTTATGAATGAGGCCACAATTGCATTAAGTCCGGCCTGGTATATCCTTAACCCCAGGTTGTATTTAAGCACATTATAGTGCATTTTACTGAAGAACTTCTCCAGACCAATGGTTCTCAATATCCGCAGCAGCAGCACATACAGACTCTCGAACCCCACCGTGGAGCTACTGAAAATCAGCTCTGTGAATAATGCCACTGATCTGATTCTTACCAAGCCTTCCAGGTGATCCCGTTACACGCTGACATCTGAGGACCACTGCTAGACTGAAAAGGAGGCCCAGTTCACATACCGTAGTTCACTTTTTGAAATCTGTGATTCCGTGGTTTCTGTACCTGTCATTTAAAGCTACACAATCTCTATGACTCATGTATATATTCCACTTTCTCTAGTAGTGAGAGTACTCGTCTGGCAGCTGTCTTTATTTAGAAAACAGCTGAATACACCCCAAATTAAGTGCTTTTCATTATTTAAAGGCGTTAGTAACATATATACCAAATCACATGCAACATTTCTTGGCAGATACGAAAAGAAGGCAGAGGTAAATACAGTCCAGATCAGCTATGTGTTCTTGACAATGTGAAGATGAATTTGAGAAGGTTCATTGCTTATCAAGAAACTGTTGAGAAAAGACTGACTGCTTAATCTTTGAAAGACAGACCCATGCCTGTCCACCGTGTTCAATGCTAGAAGTACTAAAGGCTCTCCTTTGAAGGTATATATGTTTCTGAAAATCATTTTTAATGTCTACATCTTCTACATTAATTTGAAACCTGTCAGAAGCTGTTTTAAGCTCTGGGATCTGTGTGGCATTTGTTTCTCTACTTATGTTTCCAGCATGTTTTAAGCACTGGAAACACGAAGAGTGGAAATACAAAGGAATCTCAGCGGTTCTTTGTGGTTTCTTTGTGAAGAAACTTCCAAACAATCATATTCTCCTTGTGTACAAAAATAAGAAAATTCAAAGCATCTTGGATGCTTTTTTTTTAGCTGGTATCATTTTATGTTAGCTGAACCTCTAACTAAAATAGAAGACAAGCTTTATAAGACTTACAGATTTTGGTATGTAGTATATTTGTGATGAAGTAAACGAGTTGAATTGTATTTTGCTATTTTAGCAGAATATACTAAAAGCTAGTTAAAGTAATTGTCATCCATACAAGTGGGTGTGACCAGTTGTTTTGTAACGTCACTCCTTGACTTGATACGGTATCAGAATAAGCGGGAGATATTTTTTTTTAATAAATAACTTTTTAATTGAAAGTTTCGTGTCTTCCAAGATCCTTCTTACAAATATCAAATAACTATTCCTGGGTGTTTGCTTGTAATGGATATTGCTTTAAATATATGAGATATTAAAATCAAGACTTAATTTACTACTGTCAATATTCTTGAAGAACCAGCATGACAGCTGGGGCAGGGAGTGAATTTCAATGCATGTCACTATGTGATCAGCCCCGTCGGACAGGCCCCTGGGCACTCACCTGGTCAGAAAGTCGTCTGTGTGACAGTTTCACCACAGTTCATCTTAGTAGCGTTGTTAAAAGTTCCAATACTCAGTCTGTTGGCGCTTAACTTTTTTTTTTTTTAAAGATTTATTTATTCATACAGAACTGGGGTACAGGCCAGAGGCTCAGGGGCGGCGAGAGGCTTCACCAGAGACAGAGTGGGGAGCAGAACAGGCAGATCGACAAAGTACACTGCTGAGGGGAGCAGCGGGCGGGTCAGGAGAGGTCTGCCGTGCCATGTGGTCACCTCCGGGGCAGGCGGGAATTGAACTCATGCAGAAGCTGCTTTACCTTCCCAGTGCTGTGCTTTAACCCTCTGCACCACCAGGGAGGGCTGGCACTTAACATTTTTTCAGCATTTCTGCAACTGCCTAAAATGAGCCAACAGTGTTAGATTTCATCAGTACTGTGACATATTTTACAGTTTTTACGTGTCTGATACAGATTGTTGGGAAACTGACATTGATTCTCAGCTGTCATAACCCCGGCCCCATGAAACCTGGGAAAAGCTCCTGATTCTGTATTGGGATGGGAAATGGAAGTAGCATACTGTAAATGAAAAAATGGTTGTTCTCTCTTTTTTTTAAGATTTATTTATTTATGCATACAAGACCTGGGGTGCAGGCCAGAATTGGGGGGCAGAGGTGAAAGGATTTACAAGAGACAAGAGTGTGGTGCAGAATAGGCAGACTGAAACACACTGTGGAGGGGAACAGTGGGGAGACAGGAAAGGGCTGCTGCGCCATGTGGGTCAGCTCCCTGACCGGGGATTGAACTCGTGCTGCAGTGGCTGCAGATAGCTCCATAGTGCTGCACTTTAATCCATTGCACTACCAGAGAGGGCCTTGTTGTGTTTTCTTATGTTCTTTGACTATGAGTTTTATAATATGTATATGTATATGTTTGACCCACACTTTATTTTTTTAATTTTATAATAGTTTATTTTTATATTTTTTTGTGCATTTTTCCATCTCAGTTGCAATCCCCTTGGGTTTCCCATCACCAAATCACCCATGTGCCATCACCATAGTTCAGTGCATTTCCCTCCCCCCACTGTTTCTGATCCCATTGCCCACTCCACCCCCACAAAATGTCTCTGGTATATAGCTGTTCATTATTATCATTATTTTCTGACCTTTTCCGTTATATTCCTGCTATGAGAGAAACTATCTGGTGTTTTCCTTTTCTTTCTGGCTTATTTCACTAAGAAAGATCTTTTCCAGCTCCAGCCATGTTGCTGCAAAAGACATGTGTTTCTTTAATTTGGTCGCTGAGTAATATTCCATTGTATATATGTACCACATCTTTTTAATCCAGTTATCCATTTTGGGGCACTTGGGTTGTTTCCATGTCTTTCCAATTGTGAATAAAGCAGCAATAAACATGGGGTGCAGGTATCTTTTTGAATCAGTGTTTTTGTGTCTTTTGGGTAGATACCTAGGAGTGGGATTGCTGTGATCCACACTTTTTAAAGCATGATTCTATTTTATTTAATGATTTCTATTTTACTAAGCAAGCTTTATGGCAGTTGTTGAATGCAAGATCATCTATAGACTAGTAAAAGGAAAGTTACTATATTAAAAATGTATCACCCTAAAAAGAAAGTGTCACCCTAAAAATCTTTTTTGATTCTAAGGCTTGAATGGTTTGCTCTGTGTATGTAAGAGAGATAGGGAAATTAAGATTAAATACACTCTGTAGCTTTAACTGTTTGCATAAAGGTTAGTAGAATATGTGATAGTGTTCATGGCACAATATAATAGAAACTATAGATTACAATTTTTTCTTGTTAAGTTTTAGGGGTAAAGTCTATTTTAAATGTTTCTTTGTTAGCCAACGAGAATAGTCCACCAGAAATACACACCGTTCAATGTGGCATGAATCCATGTAAGAGCCTTGGTTTTAGAAGGGATTTTTGTGTCTATGTGTTCACCTGCCCTGACATATTTGCCCAAAGAACTGACAAGCATGCCTCTTCTTTTTTTTTTTTTCCTTTAAGATGGAAATTCATTTTACTTAAAGTGAAGTTAACTTTGAAATATCAATCTTTCAATTACATGTCTTCATTCCAGTTTTATCTTTTACCTTTATTTAGTCTTGCAAAAAAAGACCTTTGGATTGTCAAGATAAGCAAAGTCTTTATCTCCTCTGCATTCCTGTTCACCCAGTTCTGTTGTAGGCTTGCTTCCTGCCCTTTTTAAATTGCGTGGGCCAACGCGCGATTGCATTTCACCAATGTAAAAGACATGTCTAAATTTAGAGCTCACTTCACCATACACAGAAATTCTTTGTTTTCTGCAACAATAGTAAAGTTGGACTACAGTATCTTAAAATACATACTTGTAGGAACAGAAGCCTCTTTTGCATTGCCATTATACTTTTATTGAATATGGATATATAGCAAATATTTAGTCCTCATGTTCTGTCTCCTTCAAAATAAAATTTCTCATTGCCTGTCTTGTTAATGCTTAGATGTAAGTCTTCTTTTTTTTATTATAATAGTTTATTTTTACATCATTTTGTGCCTTTTTCCATCTGCAATCCCTGTGGACTTCCCATCACCAATTCACCCATGTGCCATCACCATAGTCCAGTGCATTTCCCTCCCCCCTACTGTTTTTGATCCCATCCCCCACTCCACCACCACAAACTGTCTCTGGTCTATAACTGTTCATTATTATTATTATTCTCGCCTGGTCTGTTATACTCCTGCTATGAGTGAAACCATCCGGTATTTTTCCTTTTCTTTCTGGCTTATTTCACTAAGCATGATCCCAGCTCCATCCATGTTGCTGCAAAAGGCATGAGTTTAACCTTTTTTGATTGCTGAGTAATATCCCATTGTATATATGTACCACATCCTTTTAATCCAGTCATCCACTTTTAGACATTTGGGGTTGATTCCTATTGTATTGTCTTTCTTATTATAAGTAAAACAGCAATGAACATGGGGGTGCAGTTGTGTTTTTGAATCAGTGTTTTTGTATCCTTTGGGTAGATAACTAGGAGTGTAAGTCTTTTTTTTTTTTTTCTTTGTTAAGACTTATTTATTCATACAGAACCGGGGTACAAGCCAGAAGTTCTGGGGTGGTGAGAGGCTTCACCACAGACAGAGTGGGGAGCAGAACAGGCAGATCGATGAAGTACACTGCTGAGGGGAGCAGCGGGCGGGTCGGGAGAGGTCTGCCACACCATGTGGATCTCCTCTGGGGCCGAGGATCGAACTCGCACTGAAGCAGCTGCAGCCAGCTTGCAGTGCTGCGTCCTAACCCGTTGTGCTGCCAGGGAGGGCCTAAGTCTTCTGTTTTACGTAGACTATGATTCTGATCAATTGTTGCCAAAGAAGTTTTTGGTCTTTGGATGACTCTACCTCAGGATTTGAAATGCTGTGATGCCAGTGCCAATCTGGGGAATACTGAGATGTTCGTGGCAGCAACAAGAGACCTGGGGCCAAATGGTGTCCTCTCTCCCTGGACGCTTCCCACTAGGCAGTTCTGCGGCTGCGCCTGCATTCCTGTCTGCTTGCAGAATCTGGCCCTGCCGCCCTCTCCACACTTTGTTCTACCCTAGAACTTCACAGTAAGTTTTATTTTTTAATAACCGCTGAAAAGCCTTCCTTGGTATGACATCCTTCTGAAACTTTCCCCAGACACATCCATCTATATGCACATGAATATCTGTCTGTGTGAACGCACTGTAGTGGGAACGTCAACTTGGCCTTTCCCCTTAACAGTAACTCATGGATGTATTGTCGGAATCATGGATCGGTTAGGGTAGACCTTTCTAGTGGAATTACTTTATTCCACTAGGTAATCTGTTAAGATTTTAGCCTCGTAGGTTGGGGTGAAGTTTGTTTTTCTCAGTCTGTTCTTGAGAAAACTTGTAAGCACTCTTTTGAGTTTCAGTGGTTTAAAGAATGGAACCTCATTTGTTAGACTTAATACCAAACTTGTGTTAAAAAAATAAACCCATAGGCCTCTCCCTGGTGGCGCAGCGGGTTAAAGCACAGCACTAAGAAGCTAAAGCCACTTCCGCATGAGTTTGATCCCCAGCCCCGGAGGTGACCCACATGGCACGTCAGACAGCAGTGCACTTCATCAGTCGGCCTGTTCTGCTGCCACTCTCTCTGGTGAAGCCTCTCACCACCCCTGTGCCTCTGGCCTGTACCCTAGTTCTGTATGCATAAATGAATAAATCTAAAAAAAATAAACCCATAGGAACTATAGGATGAATCTCAAAGGTTTCTAATAATCTAGTACTTGTTTTATAGTAGTAATTCCTTTTTTTTTGGATTTTTTTTTTTTTAACACTGACATTGTTCATTTTGGGCCAGTAATTGTTTTCTCCCCTCCGGTTCAGTCCCTGTGGTTCTCCCACTGCCGTAACACCCATGGTCCAGCTCCATAGTCCCTTGTGTTCTTCCCTCCTCTGTTTTGACCCCTGCCTCACTGTATACTTAAGATCTGTGGTCAGCTTGAAGGTTTTGTCTTTTCCTTTGTGTGGTTTCTTTATATTCTACATTTAAGTGAAGCCATCCAATGACTATCTTTTTTCCTTCAGACTTACTTCACTTAGCATCGTCCCTTCCAGCTGTATCCTTGTTGCCTCGAATGGCATGAGATTATCTTTTTGATGGCTGAGTAGTACTCTATTGTGTGTATATACCTGCAGTAGTAATTTTTAACCTTTAAGAGTCACTATGCCAAAAAATCATGAAAAAAGCATAAACTACTCAAATGAACTGCATAGATTATCTATTGTATAAAAGTTACCCCACGCTTAGTAATTTAAAATAACAAAAT